GATGGGATTGTTGCCTTCAGGCAGGCCGGAAGACTACAAGAAGGGATTTAAAGCTGACAGTTGCTGCCAAGATCCAAAACTCTGCCTCAGATTATTGAAACTATTGCAAGGCCACTCTATAGAAAAACATGTCTATGACTCATTCTCAGCATAGCTGCTGAATAGCAATATGGCTTTATCTTATATTTAGTGCCTCACTTAATCTCAAGAAGATTGTACTTTTGCCCCGTACAATAATTGCTGCTTTCTTGTTTTAACAAGGAGCAGTTGGATCCTGTCATTCCAAACATTTTAGTTCTAAAAAAAAATAATTCTGAAATCCAAGGAAAAAAACTGTTTTACTTTTATTGTCATATTTTTACTCAACAATATTATGTGGAAAGAATCTCAGACTGACTGATTGCTTGTAGATATCACAACAAAACTCAGTTTTTTGATTAAGGGAGATATTTATTGTTAATCAACACTAAGCTTATAAACAAAACAATTAGCACTTAACCATTAAATAATAAATTTGTATTTTTTGTTTCATATTCTGCTGTCTTTTCAGCTGTTCTCCTCCTCAGATTGTGCATCTAAAAGTTTATATCAATGTTTTTCTAAAACAGCATAATGCTTTAAAAAATACTCCTTTGGCTCAACCATTATTAATGTTGAATTTCTCAACCTTCTAAAGAAAGTGAGAGACATACCACGCTTCATATGTAATCTACACTACACACCACTCGGCTGGCTCCAACTGTTCAAGAACACATTTCAACTTCAGTGTCAACGGTCAATGTTTTTACACCACCTCTAAGTGTGTTTCTTTTTTTTTTGATAGAGAAAGCTTTCTGCACTTTTGAAGCTCAGGTTGCTGAACATGGCCATAGAAATGACCTGCGAAAAAAATTCCTAGATGTTTTGCTAAGTGCAAAACTAACTCCTACACTGACCAAAAGACAGTGCAAATATATATATTCAGCTTTACTAAAGACAGATCTTTTTCATTCATCATTCCCAAAACATCCCAAAACATCCCTACATGTGTCTTCCTGCAAACACATTTTCACTTCAAGCAACTGTCAAAATGTATTAGATTTTTTTTTTTCCAAACATAGAACCTAAGAACCAATAAATATAATTTTGCGTCTGCTCATTTACATGTTTACAATAAATCTTCTGATACAACAAATGCAGTACCAACACATTCTTTAAGGTTATTTTGTCCAAAGAAAGGGTTTTTATGCATTTCATCAGTTAGCAAACTTCAAAATCAGTAACATCATCAGTAAAATGAAAAATGTGTCACTATTCATTTCCTTCAACTGAAATAAGACTAAGGCTGTAAAGCAGAGGTCACGGATTAGCGGACCGCGGCCCGGATCCGGACCCACCTGCTGGCTAATCCGGACCCAACCTGATTTAAAACATTTATCATGTTGTCCGACGACAGTGCTAACTTAATTTGCGCCGCTTCTCTTGTTAATATGGTAAAGCCATCCGGAGCGTCCGGGATCAGGCTACACATGATACAAATTAGCCAATGAGCTGTCAGTTTGGATCACTGCTACTAGCTACTTTTAGACACAGCAGGCAAACCTTTGGCAAGCCGTGCGGTGGGAAAGAAGGAGAAGACGAAAAGAAAAAGAGAGCAGAGAAAGCGTGGACTGCTGAAAAAGTTGTTTTGAACTAGTGAAAGAAAAGTGAGATGGCGTGCTCAAAGATGACCCTGCACAATTTGAGTATGTTTGTATCAACCTGCTGCTGTGAAGTAGGATTCCACACCATGAACATAATCAAAAATAAATATCGATCCAGGCTCAAAATGAGCACCTGGATATGTGCTTGAGAATGGCTTTGTTGCCAATCAAACCCAGGTTTAAAGTCCTGCAGGGCAGTGTAAAGCCCGCTTTTCTCATTAAGCCATAGAAAAAAAAAAAAAAAAAGGTCAGTTCAGGTGTTTTATAAAATATGTGAATCAGGAAATTGTCTATATACCAAACTGAACGATTGTTCTCTACTTCAAAAAACACTTCAGATTTTTTTTTTTTTATATATCTTTTTGTTTAAAAATTATATCATAGATGCATTAAAACCTGCTTTTATATTTCAGTGTTATATTCTGTTTAAAGTAACAGATTATAATCAAAAATGTCTCCGGACATTTAGTGGTTGATGATTTTGTTTCGGACACCACTGATTTTTAATTGGTTACCCTTGCTGTAAAGTCTTTTACAGTATCTTAAAGTGTTTTTTGTGTTTTTTTTTACTCTAAAGTACTTTTACTGGATGGAGAAGCACAAAAAGACTTAGTAACTTATTAAAAATGTGTTATATCATTAAACAGAAATTGGGACTTTTAATAAGAAGGAAGAATTGGAGTGCTGCTCATGTGTACCTTTTCTGGTTACCATAGAGACAGACTATCTGCGTCCTGAGTCAACTCTGTGACTGACTGGGTGACATTTACTCTTTAAGTTGGCTGCTCCACAGGTCCAGCAGAAAAGACTCCAGAGCAAAATTACTGAGGCATGAGTGTAAATGATGTGAAGCGTAAGAGGAAAGAAAAGGCAGAAGTTATTAAATAGATTACTTTGATCTCATTCTCTTGCCTGTTTTACAGCAAGAGCAAGAGATGATTCTAATCCCACAGAAAAGCTGAACCCCCTGGCACAACTTGCGTCTTCACCTGTTACATGTAACAAATCAAGGCCACGAATTCTCCCTGTAGGATGTACTCATCGCTGCTTAGCCAGCATGGAGAGATAACGGCTGATTTAATGATTTTCTCCAACGATGTGGTTTGATGTATCGGCTGACTCTGCGCCTTTAGCTAGTATAACAGGTAAAATCCATTACCCTCCCAACAGCATGATTTATGATAGGTAGTATTAGAAGCTATGGGTCGCCCTTAAACAGCTGATCCACCCAATAGAATTTACTGCAAAATGTTATGGCTGCACACTTGGACTGAGTGTAAAACCCCCCGGCCATCTCATAATGAGAAAGTGATGGTCTTTGGTTGGGGAAAATTTGCTAGGTCCATTGCCATTTCATTTAGCTAGATGTAGAGACACGCAGAAAACACTGATAAAGGGTCCCTGCAATCAGACGCACAAGCGTACACTAAATACAATGAGATCAAAGAAGCAACAATCAAACATTACACAATGTTTTAAAGGGAGGACTGCGCAGATTGACAGTTCGTAGCATTTATTTTCCGCTTTCTTAGGAAAGAGTTAAATTGAGACAAAAGCAGTGTAAGCCACTGCTTGGGGTGCCCAAACCATTAGAGCCTCTGCAAACAATTAAATGTTTACAGAGACGATTGGTTTAAATATACAACATAAAAAATTATTTACAGTTACCCAGTTTGGTTGCTTTAAGATGCGTTTAAATAAATTAGAGCCATTTATCTGGACTCAAAAAAAAAAAAAAATGACCCAGATGGACTGCTAGTTAGCTCAATCCAATGCTAGATAGATATATTATTAATACTTTGATAAATAAATTTGTCAAACAGACAAAAATTATACACAGGTGCAGTAAAGACTTTGTTTACCTATTATTAGCCCTTTCCGGAGTCACGAACAAATAAAAAATTTGCCTCAGAAAATACTTTTCTTTTTCTTCAAAGTCATTTCAGACTTTTATACATGCTGTTATCCATATCTTATTCTAATGTTGCTCTTAAATCAGCTCCTTTTTACAGAGAGAACCTTGTGCTCCATTAAAAAAACATTATTACTGAATTCTACTTCAATTTTGCATTGATATCAATCCAAATTAATGCACATTTCCCTATAACTGTATTTCTTTTCCACCATTACCCTCTTTATAATTTAGTCTTTATGATCTAGGTCACTCAGATCTGTTAAAGTACAACCAAGTGGCAAAAAACATCACAGACAAGCAATGCACTTGAAATATACCCCAAAAAAATGATGGATGGATGGATGGATGGATGGATGGGTGGATGGATGGATGGATGGATGGATGGATGGATGGATGGATGGATGGATGGATAGATAGATAGATAGATAGATAGATAGATAGATAGATAGATAGATAGATAGATAGATAGATAGATAGATAGATAGATAGATAGATAGATAGATAGATAGATAGATAGATAGATAGATAGATAGATAGATAGATAGATAGATAGATAGATAGGTTTGTCACTGGGGTGAAAGTGGGTTACTGCCTTATTTTGATCTGCTTTGTTCGTTGGACGGCCAAATAGCCTGGAGTGCATGTGGGCACTTCGACTATATCACTATGTGGCACACAGGCTATTAAAATGTGCCTGGTGGTCGGTGGAGTGGTGAGGAGGGAACAACACCCCTGACTCTCAACAGAAATGATACACTGATCAAAGGTCTGTTCCTCCCAATTAGGAGCGCGATTCTTCTCCCAATCGTAGGGAAACTATTCTCAAGTGGTTATAACCATTATCTGCGGAAAACTGCCTGGCAAAGAACGCCAAATAAAGAATCCCCCTTCACTAATGATGGCGATTAGTGTGGTGTTTGCGCTCAGGTCGGACCTAAAAAAATTTATACAATTTGGGGTTGATACAATTGGATCGAATTTTCTGCTTCAAAGAACCCTAATGGTATTATAAAAAAAATGCAATCAGCGCATCAGATTGAGGAGTGGAGCGCATGCACTCGTAATGTCGCTCAAGTGCGCTGAGCAGACTTAATGACTTCATGCCATCACTCACTGGAGGCTGGAAGTTGGGTCTCGTCGGATGTGTCTTAATTGAAATGCATCGTCTAATCAATCACGCCGCGAATGCTGAATGTGGGTGACAGATCTGGACTGCTGCCTCTCTCTATCAGCACAGCATCCTATCAACCTGTAACACCTACCAGCTGCAGCTTGCCTATTACGCAGCACAGTGGACAACTTGTGGCATTAACCAAAAGCGTATTAGATGGCTGATGCAAAAACCTCAACGGCTTCATTTGGAAAACATAAACTTAAAAAGATGCGCAACACATCATCAGTACCTGAGCCAGAGACTTGTTCGTAAGCGCTCGTCCGCAGCTTATGTCCACAGAGGCAGGTATCTAACCCTCAAACCTCTGTCAAGGAATCTTTTAAAAATCCAGTCGACTGCAAAGGAAGAACTTTCTTCATCAAATTGATGGGATCCAGCGCCCAGCGCGTCGTTTCTTAGATCTCGCAGCACGGAAAGCTCTCCGTTCTAGGTAAAGCGCAGCAGTTCGTCTTGGATTTGGGTCTGTTTTAAAACAAAGCTCGCAAATAAGAATTTTCAGTCCGTATGGAGACCATCATTCCTCAAAATAAATGTATAAATAAAAAAAACAACAACAAATAAACCATGATCCCTGCAAAAATATGCGCATCCCATTTGTTCCAAGTTTCTCCACACTAAAGACGCACAGGATGTCTAAATTGAAACGTTAGGAATTGCATTTCTGCTACTATAAGAAGCCCATCTGAAGCATTTCCAGTGAGCAAGTGATGAGATACTGTGGGTATGTTAGTTGCTCCCCAGCTCTCTTCTCCAGTCTCTCTCTACTCATCGGAGCGTGGGAGGAGGTGGGGCTCCCACTTCCACCACAGCACACACAGCAACTTCACACTCAACATCACATTATAAGACACGGCTGCCTGTTATGACTAAAATAAAATATACTGCGCGATTCCATACATTTAAAAATACCTCATCAAAGTGGGTCACGTTGGAGCAAAAGCTGGAATGCACCTTATATACGGAACGCGTCATTCAATCCCTGTCAATGATGTTATGCTTTTTCATCTGCAGCAAACTGTAGAAAATGCATCATGGTGTAACAGGTAGTCCAGCAATGATAGTTTACTTGTTGATATGTATTACATATAAGAATGAGTGGTCTAACATGGGAGCTGCTTGGACACTATTTATTCATTTGGCGCCACCCTCAGGCGCCTGTAATAAAAAGAGAGGCAGGATCTGAAGGGGATGTTGGGGAGATGGAATGTAGGTAGTGCTGTGATAATTTACACTCAATAGTTGCGTCTCCAAGGGGGTGTGACCAGGGGAATTATGGCCACCCAAACATTATAGAACCCCAGCCTAAGATTGCTCAGCGTTTCAAAACAAATAGCCTTTATAATAAAAGTCTCAACATTTTATATTGTTTACTATTGCAAATATAGAATTTAAACCACTGAGAAAAATAAACTAAAAAAAAGGGCATGCCACTCTTTCTAAATAAAGTCTAACCATACTTTACCCCCCCCCCCCAAAAAAAAATAAACAAATAAATAAAAATAAAAAAGATTATTGGAGCAGTATCTATGATTTCATTACTTGGCATTTAAATTATTATATTAGTCAAGACAGAGTAGATTTGATTGGCTTTTCCAAATTATAGGTTTTAACTACTGTCCAAAATTATAGCTTCAATATTTTCCTTATTTCACCTTAATATCTGATTCATTTAATGTATCAAACTAGTTATAATGTGTCTTTTGGTCTTAAATAAAATAAATAAAACCTCACTATTGTATAGTTTCAAATAGTGTGAAGTGTAAACATATTAAGTTACTTAGCTAGTGTTACGAAGGCATTTTGGCATTTCAAAAATGCCTAATTAGTTTTTCAAAAATATTAAGACCAATAATGTATAAACGTGCTATTTTACCAACTAGACAAAACCTGCAAAAATGAAGAAATTATTTTGTCTTTTAACATAAAGCTTTTGAAACTATCCAAAATATCTCATTATAATGTAACAAAACAAGGACACAAACAAAGACAATGCTTTTGCTCATGGCTTTAAATTAGTATAGCTCAGCAGGGAGTAAAATTCATCCCATGCTACAGTAAGTCTCTTTCTTTCTTCCCATTAACAGGCTGATGATAATAACTGTTTAAGCGTAAAGCATTGGTCCAGGAACAATGCTGGGTGTGCCACCAAGAAAAGCCGTTAGCAATGCACTCCGGAGAAAACTTGATTTCCTGTCTTCCCCCAGCTATGTTCTGCTGCAGCAAGAGTTTATCAGAGTGCTTCCAGTCTGTGATCCTTTACACTCCTCCCCCATCTCTCATTAGTGGCAAACACACAGCTGTTGGGTTACCTCTCCAGGGCTCCCATTAAGGACTGCCACTCAGGCTTACAGTGTCCCTGAGCCAATCATATTAGAGCTCCCGCCCACGCAGCCCCCACTGCCATGCTCCTATTCAACAGTCATTTTAATAACATTTAGGTGCTTTCACAGGTGGGCCCAGAGTGGTCTGAGAAGACAACAGACACAGAGAGGAAGCATTAAAGGGACAATTCAATCAACCCAAAGAATAAATGAGTGGAAATTATTTAGGTAAAGTGTAAATAAGCACTTATTAAATTTGCAAATATAGAAAAATGTAATTATATAGCTAAATATCTAGATTTAAACATCAGGGAGTTAAGATATACATAAATCTATACACAGTTATTGTTCCATTTAAAAGTGACAAATATTCACATCTATTCCTTTAGTTGATCATTTAGCTGGCAGTCAATTAATTCATTTTTTTTAACAGTGTCCTGTCTGGTAATGTGGCAATAAGAATAATTGTGCTGATGCCAAAAAGAGCCCAACAGATTTTACTTTCACAAGTGGAGCAGTAGATCTATTGCCATAGTGTTCTGCTTGTTTTATGCATATAAGTTGCTTTATTATAATTATGCAGGGAGTTTTACAGATTATATGGACACGCACAGGAAAAAAAGGAAAAAAGATGAAAGAAAGACAAGATAATGAAAAAAATAAATAAATAATTCATTTTGTTAATTGCTCCTAAATATGGTAAATTATCACTTAGATTGGACTATTTGATAAAGCTAAAGTGATGGTTTAGGCATGCAGGGAGTGAACTTTGCACTGGAACAAATATATTTTGAAACAATTGCTGCACATAAATATATATAATGTCACTTAATTCCAGTATAAATTTATGATTTAAACATTTCATTATTGATCATTTAACCTGTAAATTTTTAATAACTTTATATATTTCATACACTTAATTATATACATTTTGGGGCCGATGGTGGCTCAGGAGGTAAGGCTTTGTTCTGGGTACCTCTCTAAATTTGGTGGTCAGTGGCACAATAGGGCCAATGTATGGCAGCCCTGCTTCTCTCAGTTTACCGAAAGACAGCTTTGGCTACACTATGGCATGTCACTAGCAGTGTAAATTTGTGCATGAAAAGGTGAATGACTGATGATGTGTAAAGCACTTTAGGGTCGTTAGACTTAATGAAGTACTATACAAATACCCGCCACATGCCATTTATTTTCACTTCAATCCATCCTTTCTGTTTTTGTTTTTTCATTCATCAATTATCTGCATTCAATATTGACCCCTTCGAAAAAGGTGAATGTGGGTTTGTTTTTACAGCATTATGTGAACAAGTTAAACCCAATTTGGAATTATTAGGAAATTTAGTAAACGCAAAAGTTTTGCAATAGAGAGACAAATAGGCTGGAGTAAAAACAGCAGCATCTGTGTGAATCACATGTTCTGGCTCTGGAAAGAAATAATGATGGATGTCTGATTAACTGTCAGTGCCTCCTAAATTTACCTGATGTATCCATATCACAGCGATGACAGTCAGAGGATCTTTGTCAAGTGCATTCAAATTGAATCAAAAAGGGATGAAAGCAGTAGAAGGGCTGTAAATCAGCAGCGGATATTGTCCAGCTTGTAATAGAGGGGGTGTGCACTGAAACACCGCTGCATGCAATATCTTTATTAGCCACCATAAGGAGCACAGCCTGGGGTGACTTGCGGTTATGTTTTGACTAAATGAGGAACAAAACTGAGAACGGCATGGGTGAATAGAAAGAGGAAACTCAGAAGCAAGGCCAAAAATGACCTGAATCCCCAAAAGAGTTTCTACAGTACCTACCAGGCAGTATTCAGGCAGAAAATAACAGTCTTACAATTTTGTTCCTTTTTTTTTTCTAAAGCTTACTTAGGCTATCCAAGACATTCAGTACACTTCAAGTTCTCTCAGAAATATTCTTTTCAAGTTCCATGTACATGTACGCCTATTGATGCTGAAACCTCAAAGCTTGTAGACCATAACACTCACTAGACAGTCTGAGTCTTAGAATTCTAAGGTCAGGGTTTGTTTGCCGTAACAGCATAAAACACAAAAATGTGATCAATACACATTCACATCCATTTTATCATGACATACCCGGCCATGAGGACCTTTCATGTCTCTGTATTTATTTTACACATCAGATATAAAAAAAAAAAAAAAAAAAGAAATACAGACAAGTTTGAAGAGCTAATCCAAACCAAATGAAAATTGACTAAAAGAGACAGAAGCAACATTCCTCCATGTTAGAGTGTTGTTTGACCTGTATTATATCACCAAAAGCTTTTTGTATGTATTTTAATGACGTAAAATGCAGTGCCATTACAGGTGTAGGTATTTCTCTAATAGATCTTCACATCTTGAGAGGGAAATGTTTACTATTCTTTTACACAAAAGACCTTAAGCTCAGCTGACATTTGATGGAGACCAGTGGAAAAAAAGACATTTCTTGCCACCATTTTGAAGCAGTATTAAGGTTGATTTTGACAATGCAATTTCTACACATAAATGCTGTGTTCTGATCTGAGTCATTCCATTGTAGAAAGTGAAGCTCCACCCATGTCTTAATTCTTTCAATCCCACAAACAAATTTTCTTTTTGTATTTCCACCTGTTTAGCAACATACATCCTCCCATTTTGTTTTCATTCCTGAAGTATTCTCACAGCATGTTGCTTTCACAAATATGTTTGAGGTATTCTGTTTTCAGTGTTATGTGTGTCAGTTATTTGCCTCACATCATATTAGCAGATAGGCATTAATTTATGGTGGCATGCGAAAGTACTCATACCCCTTGAAAGTTTCCACATTTTGTCACAACACTTTGGAATTTTATGTCCAACATTTTTTTTGGAAACTGATTGTCTTAAAAAATACAAGCAATTATGACAACAAGTTTTTATTTTTTGCTGGTTTATGATATACTTGCTTAGTATGCTCATGACTTAGTTTAATTAATTTATTCCATGAAAAGAATTTAACTTAATTGGGTGAATTTGTTACAACTTAGCATTTGTTATTTAGTATTGAATAATTTAAAGGGGAAGAGTTGAACTAATTTGGCTTTTTATTAGCAAAAAAAATATTGCTTTTATACTGTAAATACTTATTCTGTGAAAGTCTAATAATAATTGCATCAAAATAAAAGTGTTCTCATAGCCTAGAATGGGCTTTTAAAAATACAAAAGTAGCAATATATCCAGTGTAACTCACCATTTTGCATCTTTGATTATACAGACTGAAAGGGGACACATTTGTTACCTTGGCATGTTTTATCAATATATGAACCGGTTAGTTGGAGGAGGAGCGAGTATGGAACCAGGAAAGATGACTGTAGATTATTCTACTTTTACCACTTTTACTCTTTATCTTTTCAAGAGGGAAGAGAAAGCAACCAAGAAAAGAAAGACAAGTTATTACCGGGAGAAAAC